CCCACTGTAGTCGTAGTTACACCCATTAATGCTGAAATCCTCAAGAAGGGTCCTAGGTACAACTCCGGCCAGAGCATGATTTCCTTTCACCAGGCAGGGGAAGTTTCTGTTAGTATTTCGTCTTTTTTTAATTTTCCTCAAGAAAATTCCGGAAAATCAGATCCAGCAATACATTAGAAACATCATACACCATGACCAAGGGGGATTTATTCGGGGAATGAAACATTGTACAATATCTGCAAATCAATAAATATGACACAACATATGAACAAAATGAAAGACAAAAATCATATAAGCATATCAATTGATGCAGAAAAAGCATTTGACATAATCTGACACCCTTTCTTGAAAAAACTCTCAGCAAAGTGGGAGCCCAAGGATCACACCTCAACATAGTAAGAACCTTATATGACAAACCCACAATCAGCAAAAACTACAAACATTTTCCCTAAGAACAGGAACAAGACAGGGATGCCCACTTTCACCACTCCTGTTTGATATAAAATTGGAAGTGCTAACCATAGCAATCAGACAAGAAGCAGAAATTAAAGGCATCATAACTGGAAAAGAAGAAAACTGTCATTATTCAAAGATGACATCATATTGTACATAAAAAACCCTAAAGACTCCATAAAAAAACTACTAAATTTAATAAATACATTCAGAAATGTGGCAGGATACAAAATTAAGAACCAGAAATCTATGGCTTTTTTATACACCAATGACGAACTCAGAGAAAGAGAAACAAACAAACAAACAAAAATTCCTATCCACTATTGCAACAAAGAAATTAGGATACCTAGGAATAAACTTAACTAACTAGGTAAAAGACCTGTACTCCGAAAACTACAGGAAGTTGAAAAAAAAAGATAGAAGATATAAACAAATGGAAAAATATACCGTGTTCATGGATTGGTAGAATCAACATGATTAAAATGTCAATACCACCCAAAACAATCTGCAGATTCAATGCAATCCCCATTAAGATACCAACAACATATTTCACAGACCTATAATAAGCGCTACAAAAATAGATATGGAATAATAATAATAATAATAAAAATAGCCGCAGCAATCTTGAGAAAGAACAAAGTTGGAGGCATGACAAACCAGATACCAAGGTATATTGCAAAAATGCCTGGTACTGGCACAACAACAGACATATAGAACAAGGCAACAGAACGGAGAATCCAAAAATCGACCCAAGCCATTATGCTCAATATCTGTCAAACAGCATACAATGAAGTCAAGATGGTGGTCTCTTGAATAAATGGTGTTGGGAAAATTGGACAGACACATGCAAAAAAATAAACTAGACCACCAACTTTTATCATAAGTCTGTAAACTTAAGATGGGAAACAATAAAAATCTTCGAAGAATCCACAGGCAGCAAAATATCAGCCATATATCCTAGCAATGTCTTTACAGATACAGCTCCTAGGGCAGTGAGGGCGAACCTATGACACGTGTGTCAGAGGTGACACGCGAACTCATATTTTTGGTTGATTTTTCTTTGGTAAATGGCATCCTATCTAATAATAGACAAACATAGTAACTGAGCTTACCTTCGCTATGCCTCCATTGGGAAATCAGCGTGATATGCAAAATAACCAACAAAGATGGTGGCTAATTTGCATACATAGGCGCCAAGAGGCAGAGGGAAGACTGAAGGTGGCTCCAGCTGGAGCAGCGGAAGGCCTGGGTCCTGGGTGCCTGAGGAAAACCGGTGCCCGCAGCCAGGGGAAGGGACGACCTATTGCACAAATCTTTTCGTGCAACAGACCTCTAATTTAAATATAAATAATAAACATCAAAAATATAAATGTTTGTTTTACTATGGTGAGAGATATCAAAAAATTTCTATATGTGACATGGCACCAGAGTTAAGTTAGGGTTTTTCAAAATGATGACACACCGAGCTCAAAAGGTTCACCATCACTATGACCTAGAACTATGTCAAGATAAAAAGCTTCTGCACAGCCAAAGAAACCATCAACAAAACAACAAGAAAGCCCACTGCATGGGAGAACATATTTGCCAATGTTATATTTGATAAGGGTTTACTCTGCAAAATTCACCTGAACTCATATAGAATAAGAAAAAGAAGGTAAACAATCCAATCAAAAAATGGGCAAAGGACCTAAATACACACTTTTCGAAAGTGGATGTACGGAAAGCTGAGATATATAAAAACATGCTCAAAGCCACTTATCCGAGAGACGCAAATCAAAACGACAATGAGATATCATCTCACACCTGTCAGGATGCCTATCATCAACTAATCAACAAAGGACAACGTGCTGGCAAGGATGTGGAGAAAAGGAACCCTTGTGCTCAGCTGGTGGGAATGCATATTGGTACAGACACTGTGGAATATAATGTAGAGTTTCCAAAAAATTAAAAATGGAACTCCCAATTGACCCATCTAGGAAAATATCCCAAGAAATAAAAAACAGCCCTAGACGGTTTGGCTCAGTGGATAGAGTGTCGACCTGCAGATTGAAGGGTCCCAGGTTCGATTGACGCCCAAAGCAACATGCCTCGCTGTGACTGGATTCCCAGTAGGGTGCATGCAGAACTCAGAGATCAACCATTCTCTCTTATCATTGATGTTACTATCACTCTCTCCCTCTCCTTTCCTCTCTCTGAAATCAATAATGAAATATTAAAAAAAGAAAAAAAGAAATCAGAAACACCAAATCAGAAAAGACATATGCACCCCTATGTTCATAGCAATACAATTTACAATAGCTAAGATTTGGAAATATCCTAAGTGTCCATCAGGAGATGAGTGGATTCAAAAACTGTGGTACATCTACACAATGGAATACTAGGCTGCTGTTAAAAAGGAGGAACTCTTACTATTTGCAACAGCATGGATGGAACTGGAGAGCAATCATGCTAAGCAAATTAAGCCAGGTGGAGAAAGATAAATATCACATGATCTCCCTCATTTGTGGTCAATGAGGGAAAATCGCGACATATGTTGTACCATATATATTACTTTAAACAATAAGAATTTTTAAAACAGAAATATTGTGAAAATTAAAAAAGAAATATTGTGAAAATATCCATACTACACAATGCAATCTACAGATTAAATGGAACCCTGAGGATAATTCTTATGGTATTTTACAAAGACATGAAAAGAGAACCTTGAAATGTATAGAAGTAAAAAATGTGAATAGCAAAAACAATCGTGAGTGAGAAGCAAGCTGGTGGCATCACACTTCCTGACTTCAATTTCTTACAAAGACAAAGCAAGCAAACATTGTGTTGCTCAAGAAACACAGACACATATATCAACAGAACAGAACACAAAACACAGAAATAAAGCCAGAAACAAACTTTCAAGTAATCTTTATCAAAACTGCAACACAGCCGAAACCGGTTTGGCTCAGTGGATAGAGCATCGGCCTGGGAACTCAAAGGTCCCAGGTTTGATTCCAGTCAAGGGCATGTACCTGGGTTGCAGGCACATCCCCAGTAGGAGATGTGGAGGAGGCGGCTGATCGATGTTTCTCTCTCATCGACGTTTCTAACTCTCTATCTCTCTCCCTTCCTCTCTGTAAAAAAATCCATAAAATACATTTTAAAAAAATAAAATAAAAATAAGAGAAAAGTAAAATGTTTAAAAAAAACTGCAAGACAGAGGAAGAAGGGAAAGATAGTTTCTTCAATGAATGGAGCTGCTGAAAATCAATACTCACATGGAAACACAACAATACTCGACACCACTGATAAAATTTAACACAACCTGCGTAACAGAATTGAATATCAGCGCTAAAACTTAAAATGCCTCAGGACAACCTAGAGAAAAAGTATTGGAGATTTGTTATGACATGATTTTCTGAATGTGACACCAACCACCACAAAAAAACCAAAAACAAACAGTCGAGATGGCAACAAATAAAGAAAAAAGCTTCTTCACAGCACAACAGCAATACACAAAATGAAATGAAAGGAAATCGAGAGAACAGAAGAAAATAATTGCAAATCCTATGAAGAAATTGCTTGGAGAGATTGTGAATTCAGTTCTCATCAGCACAATAATGTGAATATTGAGATCTAGACAAAAATTCACACAAATAGTTGGAGTTCCCAGGGAATAATAAAGTCATGTTAATACTATATTGGAGGCTAATAACAATGCAATGACTTGTCGGAAAACCAAACTCGAATATTATTTTAAAAAAATACTTTATTGCTAAGCACTAGCAACAAGCATCTGAGCTTGCCAAAAACATGGTAGCACTAGACCTGCACGCAGGGTTGTTGCCAAAAACATGGACTTTGTAGAAAAGCGGGTGTGGGGAGCAATATCAGCAAAGCACAATTAAGCACATGCAAAAATATGTGTTCCTGTATGTAATAAGCAATTAATATATAAAATATACAGGGTAGTTAGAACACTCTTTAACCAAAAAATACAGTTAATAAACAGGATAAGGATGTAGAGACAATTCTCCAAAAAATAAGTACAAATGATCAACAGGAATATAGAAAATGCTTTCCTCACTGATCAAGGTGGAATCCCTTAAGCTTCCAGCAACACTACCAACCACAAGTCCTTCCCTGTGAGTTTAGTACAGAGGGGAGTATTGGGACTTCAGGAGTAGAAGGGAGCAGTGGAAACAAACCAACCCTCCCCAGGACAGCAACTACCTAGGATACTGGAAAAATCAAACAGTACCACAGTCTACCTGGGAGGACAGAGCACACCCTGGGGGATGGGGCCTGGGAAACCTCAAAGCCAAGTCCAGGTCTCTGGTGAGAGTGAGGGTCTTACCCAGTGATGATATAAGTTCAAAGTTCTCCAGCATCACATTCAGGTACAGCTGTCTCTGACCCTCATCAAGGAGGCTCCATTCCTCCCTGGAGAAGTACAAGGCAATGTCCTCAAAGGTCACACCAACCTGTCAGAATGCAGACAATTAAAATCAATGCTGCCTTTCTGAGAACCAGTAATTCTACTCCTTACACACCTTCCCGCCCCTAACCTCCTCCAGGGGCCCTGGTTACTGTGGACACCAGGCCCTAATGCTCATCACAGTCCCATTACTCACTGGATGGCCCTCAGCAGAGCAGGTGGGTCGAATGGAAGCATTGGGGGAGGGGAGGGAGCAATGCCATTTAAGGTCTGGGCGATGCCTGCAGGGCCCCAGCCTTCCTGCCAAGCAACACCACTGCAGTCTCCTAGATCCTGCCTCCAAGACAAGGCCAAGTGTGGGTTTATGCTTCACCTTTAAGTCCCCACACCAGGTCCCGGGACCATCAGCTCACACTTCCTCCATATGTGCACACCACTGTGTAATGTCCACCCCCTTCTCATGTTCAGATCCCAGGTTGACTCTCTCAGCTCTGCCCCCTTCCTGCTCCAATGCCACTGGATCTCGCTGGACTCACCCATGAACCTGGCATATGGCGTGTAGAGAACTTGTAGTCCAGCCGGATCCAGGCCCACCCCAGGCCCCTGATGGACCCACAGCCGGGAAAGCCCCGAATGAGTCTGTGCCGTCCTCCCTGCAGCCTCTGATCTTTCCGTCAATACTCACAGCCACATCCTCAGGGACCTTCAGATGCAAGTCACCCCCGTCCCCTCTGCCCTGCACTTGCTGTGTCCTCAGAAGCCACAACACTCCTCTCTCCCCTCCACCTTCCTCACGGGCCTCCACGCGGGACTGAGCTGCAGGACGGGACAGGCGCCCTCCCCAGGCTGTGGTGTCTGTGTGAGGAGGCGGTGAGGGCCTGGGGGACACAAACTCACCTCAGCCGGTCTCCTCAGCGGGGGCGCCGCCATTGCCCTCTGTGGGCTGAGCCGGGCGGGAGTAGAAGCCGCTGCAGGAATGGCGGTCCCTGTCCCGGCCCTGGCGTGGGTCCGGGTGGCGACTCCGAGCTTCTATCCCAGGTGGGAGCTGTGAGCACCACTGGCGGCTCCCACCATTGGCTGTGAGGCGGGGAGCACCACTCTCCGGCCTTCTCCACGGGACTGTGGACTCGAAAAACCTCACCGCCTGAAAGAAAAACCTGAGAAGACGAAATCCAGCCACAAGGATTACCGGTCCCGCCCTCACGAAGCACCCAAACGGAAATGCCTTCTCTGAGCCTCCATTGGCTCCGCCTGATGCCATTCCATGCTTGGCCTTCTGGGTAATGTAGTTTCTAAGCGCCAAGGCCAGGATCCAGTATTTCTCAGTTGACTCTAGGACTGGATTTAGGGGCAAATAGCCCAAGAACACACCAAGTACACTCAGGGTCCTCTAGCGCTTTCAGGGGAGTTTATTTCCGAGGCAAGTTTGTTTCTCCTGCACTTGCACGGCTTCTTTTATCTGCAGGTTTTACATATATTTGTTCAGGACTTGCTCTTTCTGAGTGGCAGGCATTGTTTGCTCAATCAAGAATTTTGAATGTGTCCCCCTCGGGCCATATGTTTCTGGAGGAGGTTGTTCAAGTCTCTGCCTTAACCTGCCTCCAGTGAATCCATTATACAAAGTTAAGGTCACAAACAGACCCTCATACTTAAAGGCATCTGCTTCTGATGCCATCCAAAGTGTCAGTCTGCGTGGGCTACAGTGTGGATAAGATGGTCAAGAAACATGAAAAGATGCTTAAAGTCACACATCTCCGGAGAAATGGAAGTTAAAGCAACAATTAGGTATTACCCCACCACTATCACAATGGCTGCCATCTACAAATCCACAAATGACAAGTGCTGGGGAGGATGTGGAAAACAGGGACCCCTAGTACAGTGCTGGTGGGATTGCAAAGTGGTGCAGCCATGATGGAAATCAGTATGGAGTTTGTACAAAAAATTTAATATGGAACTGCCATTTGATCCAGTGATTCCACTTCTAGGAATATATCCTGTGGTAAACACCCTATTGTCTTCACTGGCAGAGAGGTGTGGACCAGGAGCCAGGAAGGCTGGTGACCCTTGAGCCCTGGCAGAGGTCAGAGCTCCACACTCACTGTTTAGTCCAGACCATGGTAGCTGAAGCAACTTCCCCACCTATAGTCATATAAATCCTTAATGATAAGATAGCCTGCCTGTTACAGGAACTTGCCTGCATAAGGGCTATGGGTATAACCCAAACTGAATAAAAAGATGGCAAGGCCTGAGCACAGGAAGAGTCCATCCTCTTGGGATGGGCTCTCTCGGCCCCACCAATTTCCAAATTATTACCTATTGTCTAGTCTCTTTCATTTCTGTGCGGCACCTCTTCCAGATCCTGAACTCTGAACCACGCAGGATGTGGTGGAAACACATCACATATCCTAAGAAACCGGAAACAATCAGATAGAAAGTAACCACCCCTCTCTTCATAGCAGCACAATTTACAATAGCAAAGATCTGGAAAGAGCCCAAGTACCCATCAGTAGATGATTGGATAAAAAACTGAGGTACATTGATACCACGGAATACTATGCAGCAGTAAATATGAAGAATCTCTTACCCTTTCACACAGCATGGGGGGAACCAGGAGAGCATCATGCTAAGTGAAATAAGTCAGTCAGAGAAAGACAACTATCACTTGATCTCTCTCATATATAGAGTCTAATGAACAAAAAACTGATGAATGGAGTGCATTCAGAAACACGGAAGCGTCTACATTACTGCAGAATCTCAGAGGGAAAGCAGGGGAGGGGGTAAAAGGAAACATCCTCAAGTAAGGATTAAAAAACCTGCACACACCTAATAAAAACAAAGTCACCTGAGCTTTGAGTATTTTCTTTTATTTTTCTTTCTCCTTTTCACGTTTATTTCATCAACAACATTCGCTCTTGCCCTCCACAAAAACAATTAGATTATGACTTGTCTCCCATAAATTCAGTTTTTGTATGAATAACCAAAGATTTCTTCTCAACACTGTTTTTAAACAAGAAGCTATAAATAAATGAAGCTTTCAAGGCTCCTCGATCCAAGTTAAACACTTCCAGTTCTCAGAGTTCAGGGTCAGGCAGGCGGCCTAGCTGCCCAGGAGGGGTCTGGGCAGGGAGCAAGGGTCCCTCCTGGAGCTGCTCCTTCCTCTCAGGGCAGGAGGGGTCTTGGCGTGGCCACCTCTGCCACCGAGGAGCCCTGCCCTGGGCATCGGAGAGGAGTTTGTAGGCAGGAGGACCCTTCCTCCTACAACAGGCGGCCTGAGTAGGACGTGCCAGGCAGGAGACCCAGGGGATGAGGGGGAACCTGCCTGCCCACACCTCCTCTGGGCTCCTCCGCCTGCACTTTTGCCAGGACAGCACTGCTTTTCAGACGCAGCAAAGGAACCCAGGAGGGACCCTGTTTCCATGGGAAAGGGCACAGGCCCACAGGCCGTGGTTGAAACATTCTCCCGTGTGCAGCCAGGTAGTGGCTCAGCTCACCCTGGAAACCACTGCAGCAGAGCCAGCTGTGGCAGGGAGGGCCTGAGCATCCGCTCACACCTGAGGTATCTGCTCTTCAGAGTTCTTGGAATGTTCCCCTCCCCG